TTTTTAATAAGATGAGCTGCATATTTAGGAGCTACAAAAATAACAGAAGAAATTGCGAAAAAACTAACAAAGTTTTTTCGCCTCTCGGCGGTACCATATATGCGGGAAAAGTGGATATCCGCGTGCATGGTAACTGAAAACGCGTTACCAAAAGTATCGCTTGTTTGTTGCGAACACTTTTCCGNATAGGAAACTGTACGGTGATTAAAGCTTTTAGCGATAGTGAATATAAAACGGAAGGTAAGTGAAATATTACATTGTATTCACCCATGATTCAATAATACAAGGTTGTGTAATTTGTGACAGCTAAAATTTGACACTCCTTTATCTAGATTTGTATTTTGGAAGTAGGAGAAAGGGGAAGAATGTGATCGCATTTTGCGAAAACGGTAGTAGAAAGGTACTAAAAAAGTGCGCAAAGTATACAATTAGAAGTAAAATGTGTATTATTAATTCTATGCGAATTTGCAATATATTTGGTGTTTTAATGGAAATACTAAACAATACATAAAAATATGCATTTTTGATTTAAGTTATTCGTCATTTCCTGGAACAAATATCGAATACCGACCGTTCAGCTATGCAAAAACGAAAAATGCAGATCAATAGAACTTTTTATGCTCATTTCAACCATGCCAAAATGATTTGGCGCAAGTAAAAAATGAAGAGGTTCTAGAAGGTTAAAGTTCAGTTTTTAGATATTTTAAATATTAATATCTTATGAACTTTATAACCGATTAAACAGCTAATGACGTCACCATAAAGGTAATTAATTTGTTCTTCAGCTGATGTACATAATTTATAGCTTTTTGTATTTTTAAACCAAAACCACTAAAAAACGAACAAATATTATTTTTTCATGAAATAACCTTTTTTGAAAAAACTGCATAATTAATGGTAAAGAATTTTATATTATTTAGAAAGTACAAGTTATTATCTTTAATTCGATATTACATATTTTATCATGATCTACTTTTGGGTTTCAACAATTTATTGATAATAAAAATACAAATAAACCTCTTATATCTTCTTTTTTTACCTGCGCCAAAAAAATTTGGTATCGTTGAAATCAGCGCAAAAAGTTCTAACAATCGGCATTTTTGGTTATTTTTTAGCTAAACGGTCGCTATTCTACACTTGTTCTAGAAAATTACGCAAACGAAGGTGGCGCCAACGAGTATGAAAGGTTTTTGGTTTTACTACTAATATCACTAGAAACTATAGAGTAAGCAACATTCTGCACAAGTAAAGGAGCCGATTTTATGTGTGGGAGCGAGAAGACTGTTTTATTACAAAACCTTTCTATTATTGAATCATGNAAAAAACTAACAAAGTTTTTTCGCCTCTCGGCGGTACCATATATGCGGGAAAAGTGGATATCCGCGTGCATGGTAACTGAAAACGCGTTACCAAAAGTATCGCTTGTTTGTTGCGAACACTTTTCCGCGAAAGATTTCAACCGGAGGAACGGATGCGCACAATTAGAGCGCTAATCTCCGAAACCGCTTAACCGATTTCAATGAAATTTTGTGGGTGTGTATTGTTGGTTCNTTGCGAAAACGGTAGTAGGAAAGTACTACAAAAAGTACGCAAAGTATGCAAATAGAAGTAAAATGTGTATTATTAATTCTATGCGAATTTGCAATATATTTGGTGTTTTAATGGAAATACTAAACAATACATAAAAATATGCATTNTTATATCTTCTTTTTTTACCTGCGCCAAAAAAATTTGGTATCGTTGAAATCAGCGCAAAAAGTTCTAACAATCGGCATTTTTGGTTATTTTTTAGCTAAACGGTCGCTATTCTACACTTGTTCTAGAAAATTACGCAAACGAAGGTGGCGCCAACGAGTATGAAAGGTTTTTGGTTTTACTACTAATATCACTAGAAACTATAGAGTAAGCAACATTCTGCACAAGTAAAGGAGCCGATTTTATGTGTGGGAGCGAGAAGACTGTTTTATTACAAAACCTTTCTATTATTGAATCATG